CTCTCTCTCTCTCTCTCTCTCTCTCTCTCTCTCTCTCTCTCTCTCTCTCTCTCTCTCTCTCTCCCGCGTGACTTTGTTTTTTACGTTTCGTTTTCAATTTGTGTGCATTTGAATCTTTTCTTTATTTCTTTGTTCTTCCATTTTTTGGTGTCGTGCCGAGAGAACGGGGGCCCGGCCTTCAAGCAGCGACGGGGCCTTCCCTTGGCCGACCCCCGAAGGTGTCGGCGCGTTAACGAGGAATGCCCGCGGCCGATAGCTGGTCCAAGTACTAGTGGTTGAAGAGTCTGAATCTCAGAACCTTTCTTCCTTGGTTCACCTAGCTCGGAGCCTAAGTACCTGATCCCACAGTACGTAGTAGCAGAGCTTTTAGGGTAAAAAGGGGATCCCATATGGTTTCCCCAACTTCCCCGTCCGACGGCAGTGCAACAGAAAATGGCTGTTTCTACTCATGGAAATTTGCGTGTCGCCACGGCCTTGACCCGCGGCGCGAAGTTGGTAGGAAACGGTAGGGAGCCCGTGACCCCCTACCCTTCCCCCAAAAAGTAGGCAAGTTTTCGTTTTTTTTTTTGTTTTTTGTTTTGTGAAGGGGGTCTTTCTTTTGCACAAAGGGAGACCGGGTGTCTCCGTTGGACCCGTGCACGGCCATTGAAATTTGGCGACACAATCGGGAAAGAGCCAAGAAGTCCGGGCCTATGGGATCCCACTTTTTCCCTACGAACGTTCGGCACTTCTCCTACTTTCAAGGGACTTTTACGACTTTTTGGTAAAAGTTCATAGTGGGATCAGCCTCTAGGGCTTGGATCCCACATTTGTTAGTGACTCCACTTTCTGACTTGAATTCGGATCCCACAAGGTACTGGGCCGTTCGGGACCCGAATTAAAATTCGGCTGTTTCTACTCGGTGTACCTGTCGTGTCAATCGTACCGTGACACTCGCCGCGATGCCACGATGAGACCTCGATTTTTCCCTGATACCTAAAAGCCACCAGCCCCCTGCCCTGTTCCCTAAAGCCCCGAGCACCAAAGCAGCGCGATTGGGTCCGACGCAAATGGACCAACATATTTCGGCAGGATTTTTGCGAAAGCCCCTGGAAGGACAGGCCTGTGGAGTCCAAAAAAAATTTTACGGACCAAAAGGCAAGGACCCTCCTTTCGAGGGGCTTTTCCCATTTTTTGTTAAAAGCGCCATGTGGGATCCAAGCCTAAGGCCGAACCGAAAGGGGTATTAGATCAAACAAGTCACAGGCGCGCCGCGGCAGGCGGGGCACTGGCATGTGTGCGTGTGTGTGTGTGTGTGAGAGAGATAGAGAGAGAGAGAGAGAACAGATTCTCTCTCTCTCTCTCTCTCTCTCTCTCTCTCTCTCTCTCTCTCTCTCTCASACACACACACACACACACATCTAGCGGAAGATTCATCCCGGATTTGCTCAGAGAGAGAGGGTGTGTGTGGGGGTGGGGGTGGGTGTGTGTGTGTGTGTGTGCGTGTGCGTGTGTGTGTGTGTGTGTGTGAGAGAGAGAGAGAGAGAGAGAGAGAGAGAGAACAGGTAAGTCGTCACACTCGGGGCTGCCTCACGCGACTTCCATGATAGGATGAGCAAAATCGAAATGATCTTCTGCTAGAACATGGAAAAATACAGTGGCCACTTCTCATCCTATCGATAGATCTTCCGCCAAAAC